ATAGCCGCTACGGCACCAGGCTGGCACTGCATCACTGAGTTTGAAGAGCAGAGAAGCCTGGAGTTTTTATTCTTTTACTCATACCCTTCACCACACACAGTGGAAATGCATTCACACCTAGCCTGGGAAAGGCTACAAACAGAGATAAACATATGCTGTTACCCCATTTTAACAGAGATCTGTGTTTTCAATTGGGTTTTGGAATTTGATGCCAAACTTAGACCCAGTTGTGGGGAGATTTTATCGGCAGAGGATAGATCAGAATTTGGAGCATGGGCTGCTTTTCTGAAGGTACATTTCTACGCTAGAAGTTCCACAGGCAAAGAGGCCTCTTAAATATTTTAAACTCCTTTCATCTAATGTTTTCCATTCTCAACAAGGCAAAAGAAGCCCATTTTCACTACCACATGCATCACTACACGTTAGCTGAGCAACACAGCAAAACCTGGGTTGACAAAGAGCACACTGAAGTTGGAAGGATTTTAACAGGGTTCTGGGTGTTTTGTGAACATGGGTTTGCACTGAGTTTTAGCCCTGTTCCATAGCGCTGGTTGGTTTTTTACACAAGATGGAAGTGCAGGCATTTGGCAATACACGCCTTTATGTAAGCTTAGACTGTCAATTGTATAAGACTAGTTGCAGTTCCGTTGACTTTACCATTTTGCAGGATTTGGCCTGTACTGGTGTTCTGTCCTTCCAAAAGGGAGTGCTGTCCTGTCTGTCGTGGTCTTAGCTTATCCCCTAGTGGATAGCTGCTCGCATCACAGAGTGTCGTAAGGATACAGGGGTCGTTCTTTTGTGCAACAGAGCAAAAAATGAGGAGAGAAAAAAGTCATCTACTCAGCCCAGTGACATAGTGATGGAAATAAGGTAGGGAAAAGACAGTGAATTTCTTCAGGAAATGTATTTTGGTAGATCCTCAGGCACCAAGAATCGTATCCGTGAGCACTCCCAAATCTTAAATTTAAGAATTTTTTCTGGGCTCATTTTCCATTCTATATTGCAACGAAAAGTAACACTCCTGTATCGTGCTGACCTGGTACTGCTTGGTCTGCTGGTTCTGTTCGTGGTACTGAGCACTGGGGAAGGCTTGTCTTTTTGAGAAGTAGAGGGTCAAAAATTCTTTCTACTGGTCTCATGCTTTGTTACTGTAATACTTAATTGAAGTAGAAAATTTGATCTGACATGTCGAATGTGGCCCTGGCTGGCTAGAGGCCAAATTGGGCTGCTTAATTTAAGTTTGCCTTAAAATGGCTGACATTAAAGTTCACGTGCCCAAATTTCCCTTTGGAATGTACTTTTAAAATCTTTTTTTAGTAACTTTATAAATCTTTCTGTAGCTGTTTTTCCTCAAAAATCAATTGCTTCAGGAAACAAGAGTCCAAAAGCTTAAGTAAATGTTTCACATAGCATTTCTGGGCCCACTATGTATCATGAAGTTTCTTCCATCTGTGGATTGGAGAAAATGTATATTAACAAATCACTTTGCCCAGCGCAAAGCCCATTTGACAACAGATTATTAAGTTGCCAGCAATGGAAGAAAAACTGAATAGGAAACAAGGAAATATTTATTTCAGTCTTCTAGGGTTTGGGTTCAAGTTTTTCGTAAGTCATTTGTGAAGATGGCAAAAAAGTTACATCAGATTTTCAGTATTTCTTTTGCAACTTTGTATGTTTCATTATTTGGCAAAGAGAGAAAATGAAATAAAATCATCCATATTTGAGCCAATACCAAGGTTTGCTGGCTGCTGTGGCTGGGTTGGAAGTGTCAGAGTGGGGTATATTGTTGCCTGGAATCTGTCCTAGAGTGGGATGTAATCGGTGAGTCACACGAAGAGAAGATTTTGTGTTCAGTATCTAGTCTTGTTCCGCATCTAAGTATCTTCCTATAGTTGTGAGCAAATTTGCTTCTGCCTCTTTCAGCATCAGAAGGCTGCACAAAACAAAAGAAGTGCAGTACAGTACAGTACTGACCTGCTTTGGATATTTATAGGTGGCATTTTTGTTGAGTTCATGACACAGCCACAGTACTTCTGTGGAGGGGGACAAAAGTGTTTTCAGTGGGATGTCCAAGCAGATAGAAGTACACAAGAGGAAATATTTAATCACGTGAGAACAGGCTGTAGTCAGAAGCCTTCTGTTTCCTGAGTTTCAGAGATGAACCTCCATTTCTTGATTAATAGCCACATGTAGTACCGCAGCATTTCATAGACCAGGTGGGAAACTACCAGAACTGCTACATTTTTACATTGTTGAAATGGAACCTAAATATGTGGTGGGGTTTTTTAAGCATGCACTGAGAGGCAATTCCTGCCTCAACCAGCAGATGATCTGTGTAAACAAAATGGGATAGTGGATGGGAAGAAAACTGGCGGAGATCATCACAGCAGTTCAAAAATTATGTTGGGAGCAGTCCTTTTTTTAAGTCCAGCTGAAGTGCTTTACCACTTTAGACAGCAGTAGCTCGTTAGCAACACTGAAGAGTCCTGTGATGGGAGATGACTTGAAGTTAGAAAAATCTACACACCCCATTTAGCACCTGTTTTTCTCTCCCCCTTTTTTCACCCATTTACATCTCTGTGTGGGGAAGGCAAACCTATTTTTTCCCCATGCACACACGTTGCTTACTGCTTTTTTTTCTAACAGCAGCTCATGTTTTCAGATCAATAGTGGCTCCTGGCAACAAAAGGTTAAGCATCGTTTCCCAGGTCTACAGAAATGTTTTGTGCTCAGAGCCCTTCTGATTGTTGGTGTCAGCCTTGATTTAAAAGGGAAAGAAGGGAGACAGTGGAGAAAGCTGGAGACGAGACATGATTTCTTTAAATTTTCTTCTTCTGTAGAAACGTCTCCCCTGGAACCTTTCTAAAACCTGACACTTGCTCTCCTTTTCCCAGAGCTGCTCATTTTTACATGTGCCCCGTGGTACTGATTGGGCTCTGGCTGTGAGCGCTGTGGCGGAGGGGGTGCCGGGCCCGGGGTGGCCGGCTCCACGCCTGCCCGAAGAGAATGTTCTGCAGACAGCAGAGCGCGGATGGTCGGGGGGAGGAATGGGTTTCCATGCTGAGTCTTGCCACCTGTTGCCTTTTTCATTCCAAGCCCCCCTTCCTCCCCACCCTCCACCCCAAGTTCCTCTCCCCACACAGCTCACCATCCCCAGTGGATAGGGTTGGGATCAGTAGTCACTTGCCAAATACCTTTCTAATGCTGTCACTAATTCTGCACAGACAGCATCTCTGAAAGCAAAAACAAATCTTTTCCAATGCATTGTCCTGCGTTTTCTACAAAAAGCATTTAGAAATGCCTTTTCTTAGTTGAGGTAGATGGGAGGGACCATGCTGTAGCCACTACAAGAGTCAACCCTAGGGAAGCCTGAAGCTGTGCCGAAAGAATCCTCTGCAAATCCGTTGAAGCTGGCATTTGGCACTGGCATGGGCTAATTTTGTACTTGGGGTTACGCATATACACACCCATGTCATTCTTCTTCATCTGCTACATATGGAAAGCTGCCCCAAGCTCCAGAGTGCCAGGGAATGTTTTACTAAAACCTCCAGACTTGGTTTGATTATGTTACTATGCACACTGGGCTGTAGAAGCGTAAGAGTGGTGCGTGCTGCCAGATGAACTGGCATTAGCTAAATAGTCATCGGCTTGAGCCGTAGTTCCACACTACTGCCCTGCTTCCATGAAAGCACTAGTAGCCTGTTCATGGACATGAGGTCATAATTTCCTCCTAATTAAGGTGTGCAAAAGGGATGGCATTGCTTTAGTTACATAGCTGTTGGGTTTGCCTGGAAGTCAGTTGGGAGTCTGGAGAAGTGCATTTTAACAATACTGCTTTCAGTTCCTCGTGTACTCTTCACGTAAAGTCATTTAGATCACAGTTTTCAGGAGTGAATAATCATTTGGAGAAGCAATTTCTGAGTTCCTGATTTAAGATGCCTTGAAGGGGACTGATTTTCAGAACAAAGACATTGGCAAATAAGACCTTTTCTTTCATTGGCAAATAGACCTGGTTTTGAAGCATTTCAGGCTCTCCAAGTGTTGCCATGCCTGTGTTTTACGGACACACCTGTATAAATACTTGTTTGCCCACAAAAATCACAGTAAGGTGTAAGGATGAAAAAATCTAATGTAAATATGAGGATTACTAGTTATTGCAGCAGGGTTCTGCCACCTTGCTTAGAACCAGGTTGAATGGGAATATGGAAAGGTGGGGAGTTGCGAAAAGAAAGAAAAAGGAAGAGAAACTGAGGTGGTATGTTTCTCTTATTATTTCTGATGCAGCATAAGGTCCAGAACCTTCTCCCTCCCTGCTGATAGACGTGTTTGTACTGGCAAGGCTTCAAGCTGGTATCCCCACTGCACCAGTTAAACCAGTAGTTACCAATTTTTTTGCAAGCCACGCTGGGACTATAGGAATTTTATTCCTTCACAGTGTTGAAGGAAAGGGGTTTTGCTTGCCAAAGGGCTTTCTTATGCTTGAGGATGATTTATGGGCCAAGCTGAGCCACTTGTGGAAAAGGCAAAGCAGCTCTTGGCAGCACCCCCAGAATCCACTGCAGCTGTGGGGTAGTGAAGTCATCGGCATAACAACCGCTGCAAACAGAATAACAAAGTCTGTTCTGTTCTCGTTTAAAATAATCTTTCCAGTTCAGCAACCACATTAAACCTTACCTTTCTGCATGCAAAAATAATAAAAGACAGATAGTTCTCTGCAACATGGTGTGAATGTCTCACTTATATTACTGCCTATCACTCCTGCACCATCTACACTTTATTGAAGTATTTTAAATGAAGGAATGAAGCCGCATTATGTCATAGTTTGTATCTGTCCCTTGTTTTCACGCCTTTGTTTTTCCTTAGGTTTAAAAATGCAGAAAAAACCCCCAGTGTTTCTTTCTTCTAGATACAAAATTTGCTTTTGCCTTATAACCTGTTTCTAAGCTGATTGCAAAATGAGTAATTCTGTCTTTGATTTTTCCTGCCTGTCTTTGTTTCAGGTCCCTTCAGATCCTCCTGCTTCCAAAAAGCCCAAAATAGATGACTCTGCTTCCCAATCTCCAGCTTCTACTGAGAAGGAAAAACAGTCCAGTTGGTTACGGTCCTTATCCAGTTCATCTAATAAGGTGATTGCTGAATATTTTATAATCAAAAGAGAGATGAAATTAGCATGTAGCATTCCTCTACTGAAACCAGAAGAGAAATGAGAGAAAGAACTTGCCCAGGTTTTCTAAATTAATGACATTTCTATCCTTGTCCTAGTACACATTGAGCTATACAATCCTCCCAGTTTCCTTGCCATCTTCCAGTGTTCACTGACCTTGATTGTGACAATGAAGTAAACAATTCCTTCGAGCCTTTAAGGTACAAGAATCCTGAAAGACTCAGGAGCCTTTTGTGGTCTCTGCAAACTACATATAACTTACTGGCAAAGAAAAAACATGAGGTTTTACATTAGTACAGTTCACCTCTTCCAGTGGAATCCAGGTCCTAGCCAGTGGGGGAGTAGTTTTAGAGATAACAGAATGCGTAGTGAAAAGCATCACTAGCACTCCATTGTGATTTATGGTTTGAGAGATTTTTTTGTATTTACTTATTTTTCTTTCCCCTCCTTCCCAGAGTATTGGCTGTGTCCATCCCCGTCAGCGTCTCTCAGCTTTCCGGCCCTGGTCCCCTGCTGTATCGGCAAATGAGAAGGAGCTCTCAACCCATCTTCCCGCGTTGATCCGAGACAGGTAAGGAGACATGAACTGAAGGGAGAATGAGGTTAGCAGCTGTGGAGATTTATTTGACAGCAAATTGCTTTATGTTTGTTCCCTTGCACTGTTAACTGGTGGCTTTGTAATTCATTCAGTCAGTCCACCGGTATCAGATTAAAAAGCATTTGCAGCTGTGGTGTTTTAATTTGCAGAAGGGAAACAAAAAAAAGTACTGATATTTTGTGCATGCATTAAATAGGTGCATCTTAGGTGAAACGTGCCATAAAAGTCTGAAATGAAGGCTGCTTCTATGAACTTATGATCATTTTGGGGTACAATCATTGGAAGTTCTCGGCCTCCACTCTTTAAAGGGAGATTGAGTCACTCTTTTAGGGCAGGTGGACAGGGACCTGCCAGCTATTTCCAGGCAAGTGCCAACTGGTGACTGCAGCAGCTCTGGAGCACTGGCCGGTCAGCATGTTGCCAATGCAGCTGCGTGCTGCCTGCCGTATTGACAATACCGTAGGAGGACAAAGGACTGAATGGACAGCACAGGCCACCCCATTCCCTCTTGACGGCCAGCGGTCCTGGGGGGTCATGCCAGAGCACACCGGGCAGGAGAGCCTCAGCTTGTAAGACCCATCAGAAGATGACGTTATAGGCCAGATTCTGCTCTTGGATAGGAACATAAACAGGTACAAGAATGAGTCACCACCCATAATAGGTGGGACTACTGGTGTCACAATTAGAACGGAAAGTGTCAGGGCAATTATACATTCCTTTGCCAGACTTGAACTGTTCAGTCTGAAAAATCTTTGTGCTAGATTGCTGCCTAAGGGTAATGGTTTCTTTGGAAAGTTTGACTAAAGTGGCCAGGTGTTTTTAGGGAGTGTTATGGAGAATATATTTGCTGCCCTTATGAACAAGTTTCTTAGAAGCTGTGGGGATTGATTGGGGGGCGGGGAGGGGGGAGGGAGAGAACACAAAAGAAAAGAAAGTCTACCAGCATATCCTTGCTTTTAAACAGACTTTTCAGTTAGGTAGGGAGAGAAGGACTAAACTGGTGTAAGAGTATCCCTGTGAGAAATTTGGCCAATTTAAGTCTTAGGAAAAAACTCACCTTCAACAGGTTCAGGAGAAATTTTAATTTATGACTGAGGATACATCATGTAGTAGATGCTGAACTGAAGTTGCAAATACAGAATTTTTTGCAAAATTCTGTGTATTTGACATTACAATGTTACTGTCCTTTCACATATGTTTGTTGGCTTTTTTAAACTGCGGTTTTACATACATGCACTCAGATGCCTGCTGTGTCAAAAAATTAAATGCTTTTTGCACTCCCGTAGCCTTTCTTAAGGAAGTGCCGTTTCCAAGTTTACAAAACATTTGTGGAGAGACAGAAGTAAAACTGTGCAGTTAGGTAAAATAATAACGCATGAAGATCATGACGAAACATCATTATAATATTTAGACTCTGGGAGATCTCATCTCTTCGGTGCTCTTAGAATATGTGGCACTTCGAATATGATCCCTTCTGAACTGGATGGCGATTAGCTGTATAAATCATCTCCATGTTTAAATGAGTGCAAAACACTAAGCAAATATATAGGCAGATTCTTAGCTGGTGCAAATCAATGGAACTTCACTGTCATTCCAGCAAGTGTCTTGCAGTTTCAGTGTAACGCATGGATTGGGAAGCATCTTAAAGCCAAGAATGTGACTATTTTCTCCTTCCTTTTGCCTCCCCCTCTGAAACAGTTTTTACTCCTACAAAAGCTTTGAGAATGCTGTGGCTCCCAATGTGGCACTTGCACCTCCAGCCCAACAGAAAATTGTCAGCAACCCGCCCTGTGCCACAGTGGTATCACGGAGCAGCGAGCCACTGAGCAGCACTGTCCAGCCACGGAAAAGAAAACTTGCTGCAGAGAACACAGCTATCCCAGAAGCAGCAGCCACTGTTGCGACCACTGTTACTGCCACTGAAGAGGATAAGGAATCAGAAGCAGAAATTGAAGTAGAAACCAGGGAAGAATGTAAGTGACAGCCTTTATTTTGTTTTATTTGTGCTGGATTTTCCTCAGTAATCCACAGGAGTTAGCTGTTCAACTTCTGTTGTGATTAAATACAATTCTGGAAGCCTGATACCTCAATGGGATGTAAAAATACAGCTTTAAGTAATAATGAAAACCAAGAATGGAACGAAGTTGCGGGGGGTGTTTCCCTGGGAGAGGAACGTGCATCGACAAAAAGAAGCACCTGAACCACAGGTGTCCGCTAACCTAGAGTCTTTCATTAAAGCAGGTAACTGTTGTGCAGAGGACGAACTGTATGTGGTGTTCACATAAAAACTGATGGTTTGCTATCTGATCAAGAGCCTTCTATAAAAGCCTTTGTGGGATACACACAAATAGCCTGTAAAAATTCCAGAGCGCACACACGTGCAAGTGTGGAATTTTGTGTCAGACAAAGAATGTGGTCACACAGTTTGAATACTGCATCCATGGAGTTGAATACATAAAGCAGAGATCAAGAGTCAGTATGTGCTTAAACAGTATTCCGACACTGGGCCTCTCAGCAAAAGATGAAGGAGGACACTGGTATCGCCTCATTAATGTCACTTAGAGAATTCTGCTGCTGCCCTCAGTATGTTCAGTCTTACTCAGTGCATGCAGTTTATGCAAAAAGAAGAAATTTTACCTGCTGAAAACAGCAGGATCCTGTAGGTTTCCCTGAAGAAATCTTTTTCTTCACACCGATGGAGAAAACCCTGTTTGTGACATGAATTCCAAAGTCACAATTAGAGCAAATTGTAGGCTGGTCCCTTAAGTCAGTCAGGTTTGCATTTTCATCACATTTCAAGTATCAAAGTATAAACCGAGTATTTTCTTTCTTCCATTTTTTTCATTGAATTTTGAGTATCTCCTCTGTACAAAAGGGCCTCAGCATATTTTGAGTTATGTTAGTTTTAGACATTTTTTTATTAATTTTCAATGTTTTTATTTTTCAGTCACCTCCTCCTTATCCTCGCTCTCCTCCCCATCCTTTACTTCATCCAGCTCTGCAAAGGACATGAGCTCACCTGGGATGCAAGCCCCAGTCACAGTCAACAGTTCATACGAGGTTGCAGCACATTCTGACTCTCACAGCAGTGGGTTGGAAGCTGAGCTGGAGCACCTAAGGCAGGCCCTGGACAGTGGCCTAGATACAAAAGAAGCCAAAGAAAAATTCCTCCATGAAGTTGTTAAAATGAGAGTCAAGCAGGAAGAGAAGCTAAATGCTGCCTTGCAAGCCAAACGCAGTCTACATCAGGTAATGTTGGAAAACAGCTTTCTCTTACCACTGCCTGCAAATGCTCTTCCAGGTAGAAACCATTAGGTAGTCTCGTGTAAAAAAGAATTGCCTCATTTTTCCCAAATAGCAACAGCCTTTACTGGGGTATTGTTTGTAAATTCAACTGGGAAACCAAAGTACACAGGAACCATTCCTACATTTTTAAGCTTGCCACCTGTTTTTGCCTTAGGGTCTAAATCCATGGTTACCAAAATCAACATCTTTTCATTACTGAAAAAATCTTCTAGTCCAGCACAGTTTATTTTGTTTTCATTTTACTGAACTAGAAACATTTCTGTTCTTATGGAGGCTTTATCTGTAGTTTTAAAAGATTTGTAAAAATCCTGCCATTGCCCAGCTGAGGGAGGGTATTCCTGGGACACGGAGACGCTTGCTGAAGCTCTGCTGAAGAGCTGAACTACAGATCTTTGTTAAGCTTTCTGTTAGCCATGCTTCACTGAACGTTTCTTGCTTCATTCAGTGAAGAAGCTCCTTATTTCTGGAAATCCTTGATACATCGGTCATATCAAAGAAAGAATGGTCAGACAAAAAAAGCTGCAGAGATGCACTGGCTGTTAGCAAATCACAGTGGCTGAACTGAATGGCGGGTGAACTTTTTTTTATTTGAGCTGGGGCAAGAGTAGTGCACAGAAATGGAAGATAGAGCCAACATAGAAGATTTGCATATCCTCTTTGAATATTGTATGTGGCACTGTAACTAAGCTAGAAATGTAATCCATTAGATGCATCTGGGGTGCCAACTGTGAAATAAGGGCCTTGTTTCATCTAGCATGGGGGATAGGAAACCAGTACTTGTACTGTTGGTCAAACGCAGGTATACAGTCTTGTTAGCTGGCACAATGCGTTTTGTTTCTTTGGGGAACAAAACAAAGGACAGTAGCTCACAGATATGATTTGTGTGCAGTATGACTCCTGTGTTTAAAAAAACCACAAAAAACCCCCAATCCTCAAAACCCCAGTAGTAGATTCAAGTATTCTACTAGCAGGCAGGAGGAGGTGAAGGAGAGATTGTATGAAGTGCGTAGATATGATCACAATTAGAATTTTAACAGAAGTTTGCCAACTCAGATTTCTGCAAGAGCTGCAGTATAGCAAGCCAGCTTCTGTGCTGCATACCTCTCGTGTGAAGATGGCTTGTTGTGTACGAGCTGCAGATCCAGCTCCCAGAGCGGGGAGGCTGAGAGCTGTCCTTTCAACTGAACTGCTTTTCGTTGCCACCTTGAGCAAATCACTTCATTCCCTTGTGTTTCAGTAAATATGTTTTATTTTATGTATTTAAAAGTAAAAGTAAATATTTATAAGTAATACATATTTCAAGCTATTTTTTTAATATCTAAACTAAATACACAGTGTGTACTTAAAGTAAAGCAGGAATTACATGAAGCAGTTGATGAGGCAGAACAGAGTGTCGAGGCATTAAATCAAGCAACGTGTCAGAGTGAGAGGGAATATGGTATCTGGCCATCATTTTCCATTTGGGCGGCTGTGGGTTTCCAGTTCCACGTACAGAGAAAGTACATGTGTGCACGCTTCCAAAGGCAAGGCTGAGCTAACAATGGCCTGGCTGGGAAGTGAGATTGTCAAAAGAGTGAATTTCCCATGACCCGACTGCAGTGTTACTTAACAGAAACACGTTGCTGTGAGGGTTTGACTCTGACAGAGAGGAAATGCTGCTTCTGGGGGAAAAAAAAAAATCGAACTTTAGTTTCTAATTTAACCATTTAGGAGACAGACCTTTAGTGAGCCACATTTTTATGCTTATGATGAACATGTCTTTTAACAACAGCTTTTTAAAAACTTACGAGTTTCTTCCTTTGTACCTTTAGGTTCCTTATCATTATCACTTCAATTAATGGCGCTCTCGTGGATTTGAGATTTCAAGGTAGCAGCTCCTATTAAGAACCTGGACAGTGAGAGTGGCAACTTCCAGAGCAAAGCATGGTTTCGATTTAGCTTAAGGTTTTAACCTGGAGTTTTCCAGATGTTGCAGAGCGGGCCATTGGCTGGTTGCCAAGAGACTGAGGGCTACACACCAGTTACCTATAGCAAAACAAAATTGCCTAGAGCTAGAAAGAAGATACACAATTTGTTTTTTCTCATACTTGCCTTAAGTGGATTTTTTGGGGGCTCGATAAAATGGAACTGCTTACTGATTTCTTCAGCAAGTAGTAAACTTCCTTGTTCAGCTTTGCTGTACACAAAGGGCATTCACAAATTGCATTTATCATAATGCTGTGTATCTTCAGTATCTTCAATTAAAGTTGCAGGCATTACAGTTGGTTTGTTTGAAACTTTGAGCTAGTGTAGAGCACATTGCTAGTAGCTCTCTCCAACTGCAGTTCATCTTTATTCAGTCACAGATGGTCACAGCTATTTTGCTTGACAAAGCAAAATGTGGCTGTAGCATATAGCTTTTTATTATCCAAGAATTCAGGGTATCTTGAGCGTAGGATCTCATGTTGATTTAAAGGAGAAAGGCTTGTACAAAGTTCAGAATGAGGTTTAGACATGAGCCTTCTCGGTCATAACCGACAGAAGGTGGGAATTCGGTTTGGATCGCTTCCTTTACAGTTCTGTTCCCTTGCACTAATTTAGTCTCTGCTCCTCAGTTCTCACAAGTTAACTGCTTTTGTATTCTAGGAGCTGGAGTTCCTAAGAGTGGCTAAGAAAGAGAAACTGAGAGAAGCAACAGAGGCGAAGCGCAACTTAAGGAAAGAGATTGAACGTCTGAGAGCTGAGAATGAGAAGAAAATGAAGGAAGCCAATGAGTCTCGGATACGACTGAAGAGGGAACTGGAACAAGCCAGGCAGATCCGGGTTTGTGACAAGGGCTGTGAAGCAGGCAGGCTCCGGGCCAAGTACTCAGCCCAGGTAAGACCCAAATGCTGAAAGCTATAATTGCAAGTAAGCTTACCATTTCTGCAGTTTTCAGGGTTAGTTCAAGTGTGTGTCTGTCTGTCCTCTAAAGCCAATGGCCTCGTTTTGTCTAATTTGATACAAGTCCAGCTCCTATCTATATAATGTCTACGCCCCCATCAAGTCAATTTACAACCCGAGTCCTAACGCAAGGAGTTACACACTTGCCTGCACCCCGACCACCTACGTCAGCCCCACAGTTCTGCCTGGAACTTTGCACATTTGTCACTTGAAAATCACCATTTACAGAGAACTAAGGCAAATGCTAGACATTATTTCAGTTCACTAATACTCGGTGGCACTGCCAATGCATAGGGATCCATTTCAATACTGTAAATATCAGGCAGAGCTACTTTCTCTAATAGTATTTTTCCTTGAAGATCAGCCTAGACCTACAGGAACTATTTAAAACAAGAGAAGAAGCCAAGGCCCATCAATAAGCAAACTGCAGTGCTGGGAAGGAGTGATGTTTACAGTTGTAAAGCACAGGTCTAAGCAAAGATTTCCAGTTTGATCTCAGTGAAAATTCTAGGAATGCAGGAACATGTTGTTACAAGCAACATGTATGCTTTAAGCTTTCAAACTAAAAATCCCTCCCCGCCCTCTCTGCATCGGATTCTCTTGTAATAAAAGATGGTGAAGTTTTAATTTAGACCATCCAAAGCCAAGCAAACCAAGAGCTCAGGCTGCACATCCTTAAGTCACCTTGTCGTGTCTTGGTGTTGCAGGGCATGTGGAATGCAAGGCCATCCACTGTTCTAAGCCCCCTGAAATGACCCAGCATATCAGGCTGAGCTGAGAGCAGAATGGCAGCCTCCTGGATTTCCATGAGAAACAGCTCTGAAGAGGAATCCATTGCATGCCCTGCCTTCCCCTTCCTCCAATAAAACAATCCCAGTTGCCCAGTAATGCATTTCCTATAAAAGGGCATGGTCCCACACCCATTGTTAACCCCCGCAAGCCCCCCTCTATAGAGAGGGGCTCCCAAACAGCCTCTCTCCTTAAGGCTAACTCCTTTCCTTGCCATAGCTGCCTCCCCTGAAGTCTTGCTCTGACCTGCTCCCACCTAAATATCCCTCTGCCAAACCACTTTCCCCATCACCAGTTCCCAAGCTAAAAGCCTGGCTGAGAAACGCATAAATAAAAGGCAAGGGTCAGCAAGCATTAGCAACAGAAGGTCTCTGAAAAATGGGGCACGCTTGCCTAAATTTAAACTCCTAGAGCAGAGAGACGTCACGTACATGCAGATGCCACATAGGCGTCATACATTCGCATGTTGTAACATACCTGAATTAATGTTAAAGGGAACTCTTCTAGACCATGTTTACTTAGCTACTTTTCTGCCACGCATGTTGTTAAACACACATGCTTCATGAACGTGTTGTTACGCCTGAAGCATGAGCTGCGAATATTTGGTGTTAGGGGGGGGGGGCGGGGGGAGAGGAAAAGAAAAGGCAATAGCAACCAGAAATTCTTCTAAGCCCAGGCTCTCAATAACGGGAAGGGGAGTGGTCCCCTTGTACCACTATGAGACATGTCTAACCAGGAGACCAGAAGCAGGAAATGATGTGGGCTTCCTCTCTAGCATCACAGGATGTCTCACTGATAAGAGGTGTCCAGACTAAACATAACCAGATTGAGAGCGGCTGCACTGGGCGTTGCCGGCAGTTGACTTCCACTTGAGCAAAAAAAGCAAGGCAACAGCAAGTGCAGATAAATGTAAACGCCACATGTACCAAATGGAGCTTTGCAAATCTGCAGACGTGTCCTCCCTTGCTTTGTGATATGCATGGAAGTTTTTGACAATGTGGATTTTCAGGCTCCTAATAAATTCCCTCCCTGGGAGGGAATAAATGAGGTTTCCTAATACGACAGGCTAAAATCACCTCAGAAGGAATTCCAAGTAGCTGAATATTCTGCAGGTTTGTCTTTTCTAAAGACACTAATGGCACATTTGCAGTATTAACTGCAACGTCCTGTAGTATGTACTGAGGCTTGCTGTTACGGCCCGAGTGCAGTGCAGCGGCACGAGGACATGCATTAAGCCCCAAGTGCAGTAAAGCTGTATCATTGCTGTGCTTGGGCAAAATATCACGTGGCAGCTAATGTCTCAGGGTCTGGAATAGCTGCTTTATTTAGCAACTACTGCAGACATTTCTGCACGGCCCTTAATAGAAAAATACCTTAAGTATCTTCAAAGTCTGAATTTTACCAGACAGCAATATGACTTTTCTTAGTCATGTAAGAAATTTTAAAATAAAGCTTTATACGTCCTTTTGTCTTTAATTTGGAGTGCACACAGAAAGTTTGTCACTTATGTTGTGTTCATCACTTCTTATTTTTGAGGAAACCACAATTCTCTAGACAGGCTTAGTCTGAGAGAAACAGCATCAGGCAAGCATGAGAGGAAGTAAGACAACAAATTCAGGGGTGTAAATGTCTTTGCGTAAGCTTGAAGTATTAGCTGCTTAATACCTATTGAATATCAGTGTGGTTTATGCCTTTCTTTTTTCTTACCTTGATACTGAGATCCAAATATGGATGTGGTGGTGAGGTAGCCTTCATTTTAGCCCAAAACATATGAGTTTTCCTTTCCTTTGTAAAATGGCAATCTTAGATAACTGCTAATCTTATCTGTTTGTGGCCTAAAATTGCATATTTCAAACTGGTGCATTTTTTCTAATGTTTACACCCTTGAATACTGGGGCTTTTCTCTGCCTTTGGTATCAGTAAGTAAAAAATGGGAAGATTGACTGCTGAGGCCTTTGGGGAGGCTGAGGCCATCTGCGTCTCTTGCTGTAAGTTGGAAAAAGACTGTTAGATCTCAGCACGTGACCTTGTCTAAGGCTGTTTGGAACGTGTATTTCTTTAAGTCCATTTCTGTGCAAAGTCACTACACATTAGGATATGCTCAGTCCCCTTCCTGTCCTCCAAAGCCCAGCTTCTTATTTTTGAGTTGAAGTTTCTTATTTATGAGTTGAAATGGTGCTAATTTTCGCTGTTGCTTGGAGAGTTTCTGCTCGTTCAGAGGGCTCCCTGTGTCCCAACTTCCTCACATCCACATTCCCAGTCCCCTTGCCACCTACACTGTACCTTCACATCCTCCGTGCCCATCTTGCCTCCTTACAGTTCCTTATATTTAATATGAAGGATATAACAGTTCATGTATATGAGAGGATACTACAATTGCTTTTGTTGGACGTTAATCGATAGCTGAGACATGGGCCTTTTACATAGGCAACTGAGTATGTTTCTGGTCACTCATATTAATAACCGTTGTAAAAGATCTGAAAGTAAATTAGTCTACCTGTGCAAACTTAGCATTGCTGTCTGCCTAAAGAAATAATAGTAGTGGTTTAAGTAGTACAGCGACCAGAGTTCTATTACACTAAGGCATTCTTAACTAACTGTGCTGTTCTTCACCCTCCTTTCTGGAACTTAAGCCACCAGAAATATTTAAGAATGTCAAAGCTAAACAGTTCATGCAATGCACTTGCAGATGTACAGTAGTGTATGGAAAAAAGTAGGGAAAAAGGACTTCCTTCCTCACCGCAACTTTGATAATCTTATGTCTGGAAGTATACGGTTTTGTTACTCTTCTCACTTTGTGCTAAGGTGCTAGTCTGTGTTAATGTCTACAAGATCACAATGGAACTGAAATATTAAAATAGTTTATTATGTTTCTTAATATGCTTTTCTCTAGATTGAGGACCTACAGGTTAAGCTTCAGCATGCAGAGGCTGACAGGGAGCAGCTCCGAGCTGACCTGATGCATGAAAGGGAGGCTCGAGAACACCTGGAAAAAGTAGTCAAGGAACTTCAGGAACAACTGTGGCCTAAATCAAGCAGTCAACCCAGCAGTGAAAACACAACGAGCAACATTGAGAACTAAACAAATACCACATCATCTAGTACACATACAGAATGACATATATGCACAGTAAGGGAGGATGTGTGGGGTACGTGTGTAAGTGCATGTGTGAGTAGTTGTGTCTTGGCACACAGATCTATGAATATGGATTCTTATTAGTTGGAAGGCAAATGTTACTCTTTATAACAGAAGCACTGAATTATGCCTCTTTTTTTTCCAATCCATATAGCACAACATCTTACTGTGCCTATAAAACACAAAGTGTTTATAAACAAAATACTTTTAAGTCCACAGCAAATTTTCTACTGGCAAACTCCAAGCAAGCAGCATCGTCCAACTAAAATCAGAGTAAAAGGCAAGCATGGCAGTGTTTTTATGTTGCCCTTCTGCCTGTTGGAACATTTTGGAATTTAAAAACAAACAAACTTTTCTTATAAGCTATTTAAAATAATTCATTACACAGACTTGGTATTAAAAAATTAACAAGATTTTTATAATGAACCTTTAAAAGCAAAACAAAAAAAATCCTTCGATGCACAATTTTTAGTGACTTGTTATAGGCTTTGGGATTCTTAACGTAGAAGCCCTCTGGTGATGATGCCATTTCATTAGCAGTTTTCCAGCCATCTAGGAAGCCATCACAGTTTTAATCCCGTCACGTGGTTGTATGAGAATTTCAGAGTGCTTTTCAAAGTTGATTTTTTCCTTAGAAAGAATTATCTTCATTTCCTGTCCTGAACACAAGAAGAAAGGAAGATGCAGGATTGTAAAGGGGTGGGTGGGTGGGAGCGGGGACGGGAAGAGATGTATGCGTTAGAATTACAAACCCAGCCTTACAGACTTCAGTGTTTGCAAATCATGCCATCTTTTCTAAAGACATCTTCATTAATTGATGTGTTCAAAAGACTCGCTTCATCCAAGAGCCCTTCAGCTTTAGGAAAAGAAAGAAGGAAATAAAGGAAGGAAATGGATGATCTGTTAAGTCGGTTGAGAAATAAAGCAGAAGACGTGCGTTTTGAAGTCATTCTGAAATCTTTACTTCAGCTTTCAGTTTTCTGGAAAACTCATCTTCGTTGTACCATCATACCATAAATTCAGTATTTACCTGCTTTTATTATGAACTGTCAGTCAGGATTTTTGTGCCCAAGGAGAGTGCAACATCGCATTATCGGATACTACAGAAAAGAAAAACAACATTTTTGCTGCTGTGAATAAGCCTACATCTTTTTTAAAAAAAACTTTTTTGTTTTAAAAAAAAAATTACTTTAATTTTGGGATCCAAGCCGCAGCCCTGGAATAAAAATGCAGCATGCCATCACCGTGTCTTATTGTTGGTGTTGTTATTGTTGTTAATTTTTTTTTTTTTTAAACTGCACTTTGTCAGAATCTTACTCTGCATTTTATTCCATATTTCTAAAGTTTACAAGTTGAGCATTCTAGATCCTACCCTGCCTAACAGATGTGAAAATCATCAACCCAGTTTTCCACCATGTGACACCCTGCATCACCACTTACATTTATGCAAAATGAGGATCAGCAGGTATAGAATGCTACCAAATATGAATTCACCAGACCAGTGCACTACTGGTTGAGTTTTAAACCTGTTTTGCATGGCTTTGTATTTAACCGAAGTTCGGAAGCAGTAGAGATGCTCCCGGAAGTGCTTAACAACTAAAGTTGGTGCTTTATTGAACAAGAGAAAAGTGATTTTCACCCGTAAACACTCACCTCTCATACACTCAAGCTTATCAGCATGAAGTGAAAATTTGATCTGAGGCTGCAGATGTGCCTTCCAGCTCATTTTTCCTCTCAGCATCTTATATAGGCAATGCTGACACTTTTTTTTACCTTAAAGAATTAAAAAAAAAAAAAGAAAAAAAAAAAAGAAAAAAGAAAACCCTATGCATCATCATACACAGAAGTTATTCTAAACAAAGAAACATATTTCCAGTAATCTTTATTTGCTTTTGGACATTAATGCAAACTATGTAAGCTTAAAAATTATTTCCCAGTAGACAGAAAGCGGCTTCCAATCCTAAAATTATAGTATTTACTTACAGTACATTAGAGATTTTTTTTTTTTTAAACAAGAGCTGTTTGCTTGAAACCGTTATAATAACCATTATAATAACTGTGAGCATTAACAAAGAAGTTCATATATATGTTTTAGGTACAAAAAGAAGAAATATGAAAGGAGTAGAATTACTGGGACAATGTAAAACTGTTGGGAGCAAGAAACAGTTATACCAAGTAAATTACATGAAACTGTCCGTTTATACAAGGGGTTTTGCCCTTGTGTGTTTGGGATGCTGGAGACTGAGTCTAGATGCAGATCTCCTCTTCTAAAGTGCAATGCAAAAGGAATTTTGATTATGCTTAGGCAGGTTTTTTTAATGTGGGTTTTTTTTTTTTTTTGCTTCTTTGTATGTTTTTTTCTGCAATTATTAAATCATATGCATGGAATTAAAATCTCTGCCATACGTATATTCATTAATGGGCATTATTACTGTCTTATGTAAAGGGTTTATTTTGTTATGCAGTATGCATAAAAATGTTCTCAGCCTTATGATTTCCAGATCTGTATTATTCACTTATTTCTTCAAGGGAAACTAAATAATTTTAGCTGTAGTTGATCATTGTGCATTTCAAAAGTCTCATATGCTCTGCTTTGCTGCCATGTTAAGAAATTACACATAGAACAAATGTATTCCCACTCTCAGCTTCTTTGAAGCCTTACTTTATAAATTTTGTTTGTTTGGGTTTTTTCCCCCTGATCTTTGATTGTGTCTCTCCCCTTATGACTCAACAAAAAACGGCAACATGTCCATCTCTATCTGTTTTTTTACAGGCAAAGTGGCCCACTTACCTGCAGCACATGACATAGTTTTTCTTTCTTGTGTGTCTAGGGAAGCATACTGATTCACTGGCACAATTTCTTCTGTACATATGATGCTTTTATCCTCCAAAATCAATGAAATCTGCATTTTTTTCAAAGGAAAAAAACAGAACAGTAAATACTCTTATCAACGTAAATAGTCTTGTCAAACAACCAGCATCACCTGTGCTTCACGGGTAAAGGGGATAAGATTTGCAAGAAAGAAGTCTGCAACATGAACTTACAACTATTGTTACAAACCCTGGCTGCTTCTTCGGCCGAGCATTACGGTAATTCTATAAAGTGTAATATATGACAAATGAACTTCACAATGTTTGAGGTTAAGACTCAATAGTATTTGATCCTTGGGAGTGAAAACATCCTAGTAAAAACCTTTCTATAGATTAAGGTTTAAAATCAGTATGATTAAATAAGGTGCAAGAAGACTGGGAACAAACGTTCTACACCAGCAGTTAATCAATAGGAGAGGTTTACAGGATAGGAATCTTATCTATCTTAAATAATTTTGTCTTTCCTAAATAGATTTTAACAATAAAATCTTAATTATTTCTGCAGAATATATAATTTATTTCTAATTCAGAATTCCTGTGCATGTAATTTATTTTAAAGTTGTCAGAAGACGGCCATGGAGACACTAATTCTAGAAAAGGGCTGTCAAAACGGTGGGAATCTTCAGAGAAGAAAAAATTGTGAAGGGGCTTGAGATGAGGGAGTTCTGTGTGTAATTTCTGTGTCTGCAACACTTCAGTAAAACAACTGTTAGCCCTCTCAGATGGAATTGCTTTTCTTTCGACTTACTGTTGAGTCCCTGCTGCATTCCATTTGCACTCCAACCTGTGAGTGTAGGAATTGTAAAGTCACATCTTCTCATTTCATCTGCTCTTTAGTTTCCTTTAAGAAGTTAAAAGGGAGAAGAGGTGTTTCATACAGGCTGTTGACTCTCCCTGTACTTAAAAATATATTACTTAATACTTGTATATTCAGTTTAATTACACATTGTTTCTATTACTGAAAGAAGACTTAAGGAAGGGAAAAAAAAAACAACAGCAATAACATTCATATCTATGGAGCAGCTAACTAGTATACATAATATTCTGCTTTTCAAACAGAACTAGCCAATGTAAAAAAAAAAAGTTAAAAGTAAATTCAACATGTAAATACTTTTTTTCATTTTACACTGTTGTATTATAAGTGTATATGGTGTTTACTTTTTCAAAACTCTTTCTTACCTGGTAGTTGTCTTGTTTTATGAGTTGTGTTTTTAACTAAGAAGAACCTTTGCTGTCTGTTAGGAAAAACAAAACAAAATCTTTTTGCAAGTTTTAAATGTGGGTTAACCTTTCTCCATCATTTGCATTTTATTTGTCCTTATTTTCACTGTAAAGTATTTTATTACCAAAAGGTTGTTTTTCTTTCCATTCTGCCCTCTCATCAGTCCATGTGTTTTAGAGAGAACTTTTTTGTTGGTTTGGTTGTTGTGTTTTCTTTTTTTTTAAAAAAAATCAAAAGAACTCACAGAAATGACATTTTTTCAATTGAAGAAAAATAAATCTTTACATTTATAATAGCCAATAGCATTTCAGCACATTTTTGTTATCCTGGTCTCTCCTATGCTGCTGCTAATGACAATATTATGACTTACTCTACTATTCTAGAACTATTTTTATGTAAGTAATGTATGCTTTCTTGTTTATAAATGCCTGATTTAAAAAAAAATAAGAAAAAAGCTTGGCATATTTATCTATTTCGCTGTGTACCTTGATAGTCCTTTTCCACCCCCTTTTCCACATCCCCTCCCCTTGAAGCAGATAATATTGTAAAATAAAGGACTTTATGAGATTATGTATGAAAATAGCTATGCTTATATACCACAGTGACTGAATGTACAGTGTATAGACGCATTACCTAAAATAAAATTGTTTGTCCAGAAAAAAATAAATAGATATGGGATGTTTTTTGAGTTTTCTGTGCTTGCAGCTGTGGCCTAATTGTTCAGGACAGGCAAACTTCAGAGATGGTGCTGATATCTGAAAAATTGCCAGTACCTCTGCTTGAAAAGTCAAGACTTCTCCAAGTATTTTAAGTTAAAGAACACAAACTTACAGAAACTCTGCTACACGCTTGC